CAATTCTCCAAACTCTTCAACATTACGAAAACATGAGCCAGGCAGCAGTCAAATCACTTCACATGACAAGGTCTAGCAATTGAGAGACGTACTCTGCTGAAAACAGAACAACATTAACCTCAATCAGCATGCACTAAGAGTCCCGATACAAGTCACTCAAGTGACTGGACGCGTGGGGATAACGACACCTTTATACCAACCTGAAGTACTTCGTACAGAACCTAATAATTTTAACCGATATCTCTTCTGTATTAAACTCAATATCTACAGTGTGGTTTATATTCTCCTCTTTTGAATAAATTGATAACTCTGTATCTTTACAATTTTATCACATGACAGGAGGCTTCATATTTTGCATAACTTTCTTTACTTTATGCCTCCAGCAGCACAAGTCAATTAATAAACTTTAAACCAATCAGTAACAGGCATCACAACCATATATGAAGCCCTGACAGACACATGACTTCCTCTTTCTTTGCTGCTTACCAGCCAAGGCACAGGTCAGAGTATTTGGCTCCAAACTGTTTTACTGATATTGCAATTGTCATTAGTTAATCATTTATTGCTTAACTTTCAGTTTGCTCCAAACTGTTTTTATTAATATTGCTATGGTCACTGTAGTTAGACACCTTATGCTAGACATTCAGTTTTAATCCTAACTGTTTTTTCTGGTTACCACTTTAATTAAACTTTATTACTTGACTTTCAGTTTGCTCCAACTGTTTTGCTATGGTAACTTTAGTTAGATTTTTAATGCTAGACATTCAGTTTTTGCTCCAAACTGTTTCGGGATATGCATGGCTACTTTTGTTAAATTTTATTAGCTTGTCCTGCAATTTTGGCCTAAATGTTTTCATTCTTTTGCAAAGAAAGTTATGCAAAAAAAAAACAAAAACAAAAAAACTTGCCTTCCATTTGGACTTGTATAGAGTGATATTCTTCCCCTGTTACTCTTCCCCCAAATTAACCCTGTATTTTCTGCTTTATTAACCTGTTTCTGTTGCTGGCACCTTTTCTTTCCTATGCTTTACTCTGGTCTCGGCAATCGCGGCATTTTACCGCGGGCACGCTTTTTATTCATTGGTGCTGGGACTTCAGGGCAGGTCTCTGGGGGTTGGGGGTGTCGGGGGGACTCTATTCCATGCCGGCGGGCCGCGATTGTATCCTCGATCGCTGGCCGCACGGCACTTTTGCGCGCGAACGGCGGCCATCTTGAATCTCGCGGCACTCGCGAGATTCACGTCGGCCACGTCGTTTGGCCAGTTCGTGATTCCCACGAACTGGCAGCTAGTTCTATACTGTTTCATATATTTTCCCTGTGAAATAAAAGTTTTACAAGTACTTTTGAGCTCAATACTGTTACATATCATGGGCATGTGGAATAAAGGTTTTCTATGTACCTTTTCTGGAAGATTATGAATGGACTGTTCACTGCTGAGCTCTATACTGTCATATTTCATTGGCATGTGAAATAAAAGTTTTATATGTAACTCTGCATGAATATGTAGGACTGATCCCTGCTGTGTGCATCTGCTGACAGTTTGCTCTATTCTGTTCTATACAATTGACATGTTGAATAACAGTTTTATTGTACATCTGGAGGATTATGAATGGACTGTCCCCTGCTGTGGGCATATAGTGGATGCATTACTCTATCTACTGGCAGGGAAATTAAATAGAGCTGATATCTTACTCCGCTCCCTACTCCCACTGGACCTCACAACCATTGGATACACTCCTTCCCCACAGGGATACACCTCCCAGGACACAGTAGTGGAGGCACATAATGGAGTGATTAACAGGGGTGACCCCCCTTACGCTGGGTGACCCCCAAGCGTGGCAGACACCTCTCCAAAGTGACATTGTGGTACAGGGGTGACCCCCCTCACGCTGGGTGACCCCCAAGCGAATCTGGTTCCTGTCCTAGTGACATACATATACTGGGGTGATCCCCCTACGCTGGGTGAACCCCAAGCGAATATTATTCCGGTACTAGTGACATACATATACTGGGGGAACCCCCACGCCCTAGGGCGGGCTCATATCCGCGGAGTACGATCTGTTACTGTATGCACAGACCGGGTCACACTGAATACATGTATATCGACAGAGCCAGGAAGGAGAGCTCACGGTGCTGCCAATTCTCCACAGTACTAAATCCTATAAGGGTGACCCCTTGGATAATTTGGAGGCTACCATACCTCCCCATACACGGGCTACGTCCCGACATTACTGACCGCTCATCCCGGTCTTATTGAGGGTGATCCCCTCCTCAGACCACTCCCAGGAAATCTCTAAGTGGTACTGATTGAAACAATTCTGGGTGACCCCCAGTCGTACGTGGAGGCCCACTAAGTGGCAATAAGTGTACTACCGTACCTGACACCTGTTCGGTACCCCATAGACCAAAAGAGTGTCCCAACATGCCATAAGAGACATTCATACAGGGGTGACCCCCCTATGCTGGGTGAACCCCAAGCGAGTCTTACTCTGGTGCTAGTGGCATAGGTACAAAGGGGTGACCCCTTACCGGACGGGGTGACCCCCGCACCCTTTCTAGGGCTTCTACCTTCAGAGTACGCTCTGTCATTGTATGCACAGACCAGGGCGCACTAGATGCATGTATTCTGGCACCTCTATGCTTCAACTGGGGTTCTGTACGCCCTTCCCTTAACCGAGAAGGAGAACTCACAGTGCTGCCAAAACTCCACAATTCTAGACCATATAAGGATGAACCCCGTGGACTATATATAGAGGCTTTCACGTCTCCCAGACTCGGGCTACGTCCCAACATTGCAGACCGCTCATCCCGGTCTTACTGAGGATGTCCTCATTCTCAGACCACTCCCCGGATCCTGCGAAAATGATACTGATTGATCAAAATTCTGGGTGACCCCCAGTTATACGCGGAGGCCCACTGAGTGGCAATAAGTGTACTGTTGTACGATCCTGTCTCCCACAGACCGAAAGGGTGTGAACCAACATGTCGGACTTACCTCAATATCCCCGACCGATTTTCAGGCGAGGATTATGGCCACCATGACAGCTCCGGGGGAAGAAGTCCTCTCCAGTATGCTGGCTAACAACCCATCCGACAGAGCGGGTGCAACGGCAGCAACACCAATGGAAGATTGAGATACCGACGTTAGGTCGGACACCCATCATCAGGGGACGAGGACTTCATCCTCCCCCCTTCTCTGGAGATCATGAAAGAATGAAGGGCAGAAGAGGTAAAAGTGACAAGACCGCCTAGCAAGAAAGGTTTTTTCTTTGGCACACTGGACACTCCTGTTTTGACTCACGCACCATCCTACAACCAGGGTCATCCGAATGGGGTTAACCGGAGCACCGGGCCCACTTCTGGCTTAGGAGGCCTATGGGAAAAGAAATCCGAGACAGGCTCAGGATGGAATGCCCACGCCCTCTATGTCCGAACAAGATAGTCCTCACTATGGAGCTCGTGGTGATATGTATGTCCCGATCAGGCCGGGGTCCATGTAAAGGTGTAGGAGGAGGACTCAAAACGAGTTAAGATGAAATACTGGATATGATCAGCCTGGGAAAAAAATTCTATACTTTGCGGACCTGACCCCACACAAGACTCACCTCTAGAAGCTCACGATGTGAGGGAATGGGTGCAAAGGGCAATATGTAGGTTGGGGAATGCAAGGCAGACAGGTGCACAGAACGGCGCAAAGCAGCCCGATTAAAGATGGATTTCAAACTATTGAAGTTAGGGACGAAAGAGCGAGGACCTCAGGCGGACGGACTATCGTTTGGAGAACCATTTATCTCAGCAACGGTTTGGTAGTAAGGAAGAAGATAGGAGACTATCACCCAGTCATCAACCTATGCCAACCCAATGGTTTTGGGGCGTACCGACAACTCAAGAAGGAAGGTATGCATCTCTTAGGGGATCTACAAGGTTGGACTTGAAGGGCACTTACCTATAGGTTCACATGGTGCCTCATGAAGTTTCTGAAGTCGGTCACGGCGCACTGAAAAGCAAAGGGTATCTGCTGTCACATACCTAGACGACTTACTTTTTGCAAATCCAATTCATGACTACGTTTACAAATGAGATTTATGTTTACAGTTTCGGGAATTGTTGGGATTCATAGTGAACAGAGAGGAGTCGGTTCGATCCCAGTTCCAAGTGATTCAGTTCCTCTACTTCAGAATAGATTCCACCTTGGGCGGATTACAACTTCCCACATCATTGATAGCGACGATTCGTAAGGAAATTCGACGGGTACGGCGGAAAGGCACCATAACCCTTTGACTATTTCCCAGGACTGCTTCACTACCGGGCCAGACAGTGGCTGAAAGCTCACTGCCTGAGATACGGACACACCTATGAAATTGGGATCAGAATAGCGAAGACTTCGATAGTACTCATTACTGCGGTAAAGGAGTCAAGTGTGACACCCAGAAGGGTTGTCCTTAATCAGGATCATCCTCTGCTCCTTCCGTTTTAACTTGCCTTCGGGCGGATCCAAAAGGAGAACATCATCCATTGATAATGCAGGAGCATCTGGCGTTGGTAGATTGGTGTCTTCCAGGGGAGACTGGTATGTCAAGGGACTATCGCAACCAACTACTATGGGACTCATGGACACCAGGTATTCCCCAAAATAACTTATCCGCATGGAACACCTGGAGTTCGCTGGTGTATGGGAAGGGACTGCGATCCCTTTATTACCCCTATCTCCACAATGCTGGATCTTTATCATACCTTTTCACTACAGGCCAATCGGAACGTTCCATTAACGGGCTACGTTCCGCGATTTCGACAACGCATAGCACGATTCAATCAAGAGCCTTTGTTATGCCATTTTCTGCGGGGTATCAAACCGTCCAGAACCATGCGTCAAAGTATCACTGGTGTGGGACTTTTATTTGGTTCTTTTGGAGCTAGTCAGATATCACGGTCCTATCCCTCAGTCAGCCGTTAGCCAGAGTCATGTTACTTTTAGGTCTTTTCGTCGGGTATCAGATGTACTGGAGTTCGACGTAGACGGTCTTTTCGGTATCACCGGAAAGAATGATTTCTACAGTGTCTCGTAGAACTATATCTTATCCGCGTCCGTATCGTTCCCTGTTACCGACGGTTTCCCAGTCTTTGTGCAGTTAAAGCGGTACTTTGTTACATGGAGATCACGACAACACTTAGAATGTCACATTCAGGACATCTGCTGGTCTTATACCAACCGTACAAGCCAGTTACCATGAACACTGTCTAGATGGGTTCATTGGTTGTTATCGCTAGCGAGGGTGGAGACGTGTTTGGGTACTCATTCGGTAAGAGGCGCGGCTGCTTCTCAGGCCTTCACGAGGGGGCCTCTATATTTTCAGCGACGAATTGGACACGGATAGACTACTTCCGTATATTTATTTTCGTCAACCACACACGCATCCTTCTCGCTCATACCACAGCTTTAAAAATGCAAAATATGAAGCCTCCTGTCATGTGATAAAATTGTAGATTATGCTAACGTAGTGTACCTATAATCTTAATTTTAATAATGACAGGAGGCGAATATTTTCCCTCCCTGTTTCCCTCCCTATACTCTGGAAAAATTTTATATTCTGGTTTGTCATTTTCTCAGTGTAAATTATAAGGTTTTGGTAATTCAGTATATTTATGGGATGCTTATTTGGTTGACATGTCTTAGATCCGTGTTGATTATTAAGTATATTATGGTTTGTTTAATGTTTCAGTATATTAACTTAATATTAATATAGACACATAGTACTGGATTTAATGTGGACAACAGTTGGTTTCCATCACCTTTCACGTATTTCTGTTCTTTTCAGCGTAATCATCATAGATGGATTCGACAAGATAAAGCTGGAAGGTTTCAAGTTTCGTTTCAAGTTATGTGCTACACGTTAATCAGGACTGTTATTTGAATTCCCTGACGTTATAATAGACTGTTTTTCGCATCAAAGAAAGAGGAAGTCATGTGTCTGTCAGGGCTTTATATATGGATGTGATGCCTGTTACTGATTGGTTTAAAGTTTATTGATTGACTTGTGCTGCTGGAGGCATAAAGTAAAGAAAGTTATGCAAAATATTCGCCTCCTGTCATTATTAAAATTAAGATTATAGGTACACTACGTTAGCATAATCTACAATTGTATTGTTACCCATGTGCATATGAGACTTAAAGAAAAGAGGAAAGACGGAAAGGGAAGATCTAAAGCCAGTGCATACCTCCTAAATGGGGGATAACCCCTGTAGTAGACAAAAAACAAACAAGAAACCAAGTGGAGGGTGCAACACTTGATACTGAAAATTGAATTCTATAAGGGTTAAATACCACCTATAATAAGACTTAACTTTTAATAAATCGTAGTATAAAAAAGTTCAAACAGGACTAGTTCAGGAACTAACCACAAAAATGACAAATAGTACTATAGACAAAAAAACATAATAAAAACAAGAGTTGTCCCACTAATGTCAATGTTGTAATTGGCACGATGGAAAAATTCTTATAAAGGCACATCGTAGTGTATTGATATACTTTTGGCAGATAACTTTGTAATGGTAATTGCAAATAATCACATTTCCACTGATACAGTGATTCATAATCAATATCAATAAATCACTGTTTAGTAGACATATGCAGAGAACTTAGTGTGAAGCTACTACTGAACACACTCATGCAGAAGTTTAAAATAATAGTATCGATGTCTAAAAATGCTACATAGATATGTTAAAAGATGTAACAATAATTGTTACCACAGTATTCCTAGAATGTAGCTAAATGTCCTAATAGTTTGTAGGAAGACAAAAAGGCAGCTGGCCGTGCCTGATACTAAAACAGGGTGGAGAAATAGGGAAACTGGCAATAAAAATAAATTGGGGTTGAGAAGCTTGCCCTTTTGTGCTTGCAAGGGCACCCAGAATAGAGGGAATAGGGAATAGAAGGGGGAGTGGGAGTGAATAGCTTTCCCTATTGTGCTTTCGTAGGCACCCCTTACCCCTAAAAAAATCCCTATCCTGTTAGAAAATGCACGTCAAACCAACCACCCATGGCGTGAAATGGCTAAAAAAAAGCCTAAAGTTCCTTGCCGCAACCAAAATAAGTTATTGCCATGCAAATGGTCAAAAAAATATTTGATCTAGAATGCCTGATTGCAATTCTAAAAGAAAATTCTTGTGGGAACAACGAAGCCCCTAGCCACTGATGCGCGTTTCACTAGTTTAGCCCCTCTGAACCCATGTGCATATTCTCATGTAGACAAATGACAAGCTGTGCTATTTTTCTGCCTGTGCTCCTAAATAAAGAATTAAAAAACAAATCAAAACAAAACGTCATATAAAAATTCTTAAATACCCACAAGAGAATCAGGTTTACAATATTAAACAGTTAATAGGTTGCTTTCTAAAAATGTGGTAACCGACGCATACTATGGACAAGGTTGTGCCGGAAATGACATTGCGCAATCTACGTCAATTCTAGCGGACACCGAAATTGCAATACATTGAATTGGATGCCAGTACTTCACCCACACTTCAAATTTATTGGTGCAAATTAAGGAGGCATGAAAATGTCTTGAAATTACAGGCTGTCTATAAGGGATGCCATCAGACAGCATTATTTACCACGTGATGAAGCCGAGTATACTGGTGAAACACGTTTTGATATAGAAAATTTCCTTTTTTTAAAATATATTTATGTGTTTTTAAAGATTCTGCAATATTTCTCTTCTTCCCATAACTCTCTTTTTCACCTGTCAGTACTTTACTTTCAATGTTGATTTTCAAATAACTATAGAATATATCAAGCTCCAACTTAAAAAAAAAAAAAAAATAGGCATACGTCACTATGCACTGATTTTAATATGTATCGCAACATACCTGTAATTGTACGACACACCATACTACTATATGTATACATCATGTACATGTACTTAATGCAGCAGTGCTTGGCTCATCGAAAAGAAAGATTGTTTTTTTTAAAAGCTCACTCTATGCGCCAGCCACCCCATCCTTGTAAATGCATTATGGGAGATGTAGTCCAAAAACATCTGGAGTGTCAAAGGTTGCCTACCCCTGATCCAGTTTGTAAACGCACAGGCTGTTTTTTAAAGAACTTTTTCTGTGGTGCTGCAGGGATTTGATTGATGCCCATGGGCTGTTTTCCATTTTGTTTGTATCAATGTGTCTTGTTGTATATTTTTATCTGTAAATGTTTGTTTTTTTGATACTGCTACCTTTTTTTTTCTTTGCTTAATCTGAAGAGCTCTGAAGAGAGTTATATAACAACTGCACATAAATAAATCAATGAAATACATTTTGAGTCTTAATACTGTTTTGTAAGAGAATATTTGTGTTCAGTATGGTGTATAAATGTATTAAATAATTCACATTTGCTTTTGTACATTTAAATAGTTGTAGTTAATACTATTTATTTTTCCCTTTTATTCAAATTTTTGTTATACATTTAGATCTGAAAATGTTAATAAAATGTTAAAGTTCACATTTATTGTGATATATATATATATATATCACAATAAATGTGAACTTTAACATTTTATTAACATTTTCAGATCTAAATGTATAACAAAAATTCGAATAAAAGGGAAAAATAAATAGTTTGGAATTGTGATACATTGCAATAAAAACAAAAGTGGTGTTTAATAATATCTCCTGTGTTATTTGTAATAATGAAATGAACAGATGATTAACTGGGTATAACTGTGTCTATATTACATTAACACCTTCATATCAGATTAAGTAAGGTGGTGACCTGAGCTGGAGCTCTAAATAACGACTTCCAAACCCCATTTCTGATTTTGGCACCATGTAATTGATTGTCCTTATCATATTGAAGTGAAATAACATCTCTAAATGCCATCTTGTGCCATTTTGAGTTAATTATATTATTTTGTATTTTGAGTTAATTATACAGCACAATGTGCAGATTTAATGCTGCAAATGTGGAAATAATGCTGTTGTGCATGGGTATTGCAATACTGTGCTAGTTTATACAGCAAGTGTGGAGTTTATAGAAATAGATTATAATAGATTATAATATTTCTAATGTTTTATTCAGAAAACATATCAGTGTTTAGAAGTCGACATAGATTCTGGTATAGGATGTAGTTTTGAAAATTGCTTAAATCAATATATGTGCCAGAGGACAGAAAATGAATGCATGGGCTGAAGCTTTTTCTGCTACAGAGCAAAAGCCCTGAGACTACATAAATGTGGATTATTATTATTATTATTATTATCATTAGCGGTATTTATATAGCACTAACTTATTCTGCAGCACATTGTAATATTAATATTATAAGAGCTGAAAAATTTACAATTAATATTACAGGAATAACAGGTAGATGAGGACCCTGCTCAGACAAGCTTACAGTCTGGATCAGAAGTGCCTAAAAGTTAGATCCGCAGATGTTGTAAAACTACAATTCCCATAATGCTTTGCATGCCTATACAATGCTTTAGGATGGCAAAGCATCATGGAAGCAGTAGTTTTATTTATTTATGTATTAATTAATTTTGCACTTACGGGCAAGGACCTCTTTATAAAATAAATGTAAAATGTAATTTTAACCACATCTTTGCTTTTGACTTGTCAATCGGCTGCTGTGAGACTTGTCACTGACCTGTTTGAGGAGATACTACAGAGGTTTTGAAAAAGGAACAAGAACAGTCATAGTTTAAGTCCAGCCAAAGGAAGCTACAGAAGATCAGCAACTTTTTACTTACGAAGTTTAAAAAAAAAAAAAAAAGTATTATATTTTTTACAGAATCTGTAGATTTAAAAAAATCTGGGGATCTACCTTTTGGGATCCCTGGTCTAGATAAACTAGAACTCTCTTCTCATTCGAGTAACTTATTAATATCTGTTACACAAATATGAATAAGTAGTTGGAGAACAGTAGGCTCTCCCTCTCCGATATTGATAGTATGCTCAGAAAGAAGAAGCTTATCTGTGTGTCTGTCAGAATGTCTGCAGCAAAAACTAATGTTGATTCTTTTATTTCATCTGGCTACCCCAAAGTGTTTTTTTCTTTCTGCAATTTAATAATGTCTATTTCCTAATATATGGGCCTTTATTAAGCAGGCCCCTGACTGTGAACAATAATAAGTTTTCAAGTGCATAATTGCATGCCATTACATTTGCAGACGTCGATTTCTTCCTATTCATATTGCTTCCTCATTCACATATTGCCCATTTATTTTATCACCTTTGAAGAATGTTTTATTATGATAGGATATTTGAGAATGTTGAGTTGTTATTAAACCAAAATGGCAAGTTGTTAACTTGCCTCTCACACAGAAACCTTATGGTATGCCATTCAACTGATAATAGCTACATTCTGACTTTTCTCTTAGTTTTATATAATTGTATTTTTATTTTCAAAGTTGACCCCTAAAAAAATTACAGATTTTA